CCAGACTGGGCACCACAGAAAAGCGGAAGGCAGGTCAGGAGAATCTTCCTTTCAAACGTTTGCTGCATATTTGCAGAGCGCAGACTAGTCATCATCAGATACGCAACAAGGAATCACTGGACACCACAAACTGGGTGAGGCACGGAGAATGCAGCAAGGAAGAAAGCAGCCAGGGTCCCTGCCCTTACAGAGCTTACCCTCCACAACAAAAGTCAGTCACTAACCAGCACGCTTCACAATTAATTGACTACGAAGAGGAAGACAGTGCTCTAAACAGAATTTACCCAGGGGCTTTCTGAGAGTTTCCTTGAGACAGAGACATCTGAGCTGTGGGCTAAAGAAGAGTAGGAATTAACAAAATAGACATAATCCTAACACCCAGTGGGGACAGATGGTGACACGTGTCACAAAGAATTCTGCATTTCAAAACAACAACCCTAAAATGCAAACATTTGTGCATATTTGTTCACTTAAGGCTGCCCACAACTGCCCCAGGGAAAATGACCCTAGAATGTCCTACATGCTACTTTGGCGAGTTGCAATGAGATCCTCGGAGTTTGCAAGCAGCCACTTAAGACACGACTGTCGGTCTTGACCCATCAGGGAGCAGGGTGAGAAAATCAAAGACTCAAGGAAACAGTGCGCGCAAAGGACTAATGGATCACATGAGCTACGATTTCCACCAGCCCGAGACCAGAAGAATTAGATGGTACTCTGCTACCACTACCAACTGTTGTGATACGGATCTCAAAAGAAGGTTCTGGATAAAGTGGGAGAAAAATGTGTGTGATAGTTAGGTTTATTGTGCCAACCAGGCCTCCCTAAGAACATGTGGGTGGAGTTTAATCAGGTCACAGCTTGATTGGAGGGCAACCAAGATAACTAAAGACGGCTGGCATCCATCTCTCTCATCCTCCCTGGTGATCAGACCAGTGTGCTGCACTACCTATGGGCCGAGCTAACCCATGGACTTTGTCGCTAGACCTTGAGGCTCCTTCAAGACTTGCTTTACCATGCTATTGGCATGTACATCACTTGAGCTTGAGGCTGATGGATCTTGTCACCATGCATCGCTTGAGTTCAAGACCCCATGGGGCCTGCTACTGACTATTGCTGCCCCATTCTGCCCTCTGCTGCCCGAGAGCACTCTGCCCATCTTGCCTAGGGAAGCCTCTGCTGTCTGCTTCCTTGACCTTGGACCAGCAGCCTGAGTGAGTGGAAGGATCTTCAGTATATTCACTACTCCACGAAAGTGAGTTGAGCTGAGCCCTCTGTACTGCTGTGTGGACTAATTAGCTGTTATTATATTCCTTCTCGCTGTATAAACCTGTCCTTTTATTTACATAATCTAAGTGTCCTGGTTCTGTTTCATTAGAGAACCCTGCCTAACACAACGTGGAACAAAATTCAAAACTATGAAAAATACCAGACTTGCTTTTCTAACAGAGATGGTTGGACCTCCTGAAACAATGGCCCTCCACACTCTTCAGGTTGTTAACTGCACCTGCTTCCAGATATCACCTTTGAGGCTATGGAGTGAACAGGGGCACCTGTGAAGAATACGCTTCTCAGAACCGTCAACACAGTGAGATGAAAGGGGCAGTGGTCTCCCGGAAACAAAGATGAGAAGGCTGGGAGGAGCCAGAAAGAAGGGTGAAGGGGCACTGGAACCCAGGGAGGTAGTGGGAGGAGTGTATGGCATGGAAGGGGGTGCAGTTTATGTCACAAGATAAGATGTGTCTACATCCTTGAATGGGAAACTCATGTACTCTGTAAAATTTTACTCTGGCCACAATTAAATGCTTTGTTTTTTAAAAAAGGACACTAGAAATTTGGACATTAGTTTTATAGCTGTAAACAGTGTAAATAAAAGTAGGATTTAAAAAGTTGTGGAAATTTTTAAAATTATCTTTCTATTACATTTTCCGTGAACCTTTTTGAAGAGCCACTGTCTTTGTGAAAACCCATCCAAGTGTATACTTTAAAAAAGAAAAGATCCTAGTCTTTGGCATCAAGACTGACATCCTGTCTTCTGATAAACCCTTAACTGGGTACCATGTCCATAGAGAAACGCCCCTTCTGAATAAGACAAACCACTTTTCTCATGAACCATCAAATGGAATAGTGATGGTTGTAACAGTAATGTGATCGGACCGCAGCTATTTCAGCACATACAACAGACTGCCCAGCACACAGAAAGGGTCCTGTCCATGTGGTACGCGTGATAGGATTGTATCAACTGTGTATTATATAGCCTTACTAAGTAGCTATTGCTTTTCCTATTTCATATCAGACGAAACCAAGATCCAGGGATTTTACATAAATTGTTCATGATCATAAACCGGTCAACAAGAGAGCAGGCATTTTAACCTGGAGCTAGCCTACCTTTGAAAGCCATGTTAATTACTGTGCAAAACATAAAGTAACCCTAAAATATCAACGGCAGGGATACCTGGGAAAGGTGTTGTCCTTACATCGGAATAATGTCCAGGTGGACACACGATAGGCTGATGACACCGAGTACTGCTCTGTGGACCGGTGGCCTCTGACCAGTGTCAGTCAGGATAAAAACCCTCCACGACCATGGCCAATAGCATCAGACAAACTTGGTAAGTCCACCCTTCATTATCAGCCATGCGACTTCTGGCCGAACCTTGCTGAATCTCAGTATACACGCTCCAAACCAAACCCCCTGCCTGTGAACCCATTCTGACCCACAGCGACTCTACAGAGTCAAACTGCTTCTGAGACCGCAAACCTTCCGAGAACAGACGGTCTCATCTTTCTCCTGAGGAATTGGGGGGCCAGGGGGCAGGTACTGGGTATGGACCACTGACTTAGCGGCTTCGAGTTTGGAACGAGTTTAAGGAAAGCCCACACGTCAGGTATGTAACTACGCAGGACCAGGAGCTGTGCATGGCAGGTAGCTGTGAAGCACTGGGTCCTCCCAGAACATCTGGAGAAGATTCTGATGAAGGGAGATGAGGTGTTTTCTTGTTCCCACTCCTTTGAAGTGCAGCTACTTCTTCCGAGGCGATGTGGAAGAAGGGAAGACTCAGCTCCGTCTAAGCTTTGTGCTTCCTCTCACTAACCCAGTCTTTGTTGTCTGAATTTATCACGCGGGGTTCAAAGAAAGCCCAGAGAAACATTTCGTCCAGCTCTCTTTTTATTAGACTGACTGCAAAGACCAACGAGCTAATGGCACATCCGTCCGAGCTATCTCACCTCGAACTTTCGCTACCTCCTTTCTCACATACACACACAAAATCCCAATGGGAGTTTGAAGCCATTTTGCAAAGGAGAGAGAAAAAATACTGCCAGAAAAAAAAAAAGTGAGTTGTTCTGTTTCGGTTTTTCAGCAACTTGGCTAGAGAAACACACAGGCAGTTTTGCTTTGTTGTTCTTAAAGGGGGAAGGTGATGGAGAAGCTCGGAGATGGTGCCGGCTGAGCACTCTGGTGAACACACGGTGCAAGGGGGCTGCAAGGCGTGTGGGGAAAGCCCACCATCATCTCAGCCCATTTCCCCCAGACTTTGTAAGCCCCTCACACCTGTGAAAACTGGTTCTTTAGCTGTGTATTCTGAAAAAAATGGAAATGCCAACGCTCTAAAAATTGTCCAACACCCTGGATGTAATGACATAGAAGTCATCTCCTATGAATGAACTAACAATAAAAAAGAATGTCTTATTAGCTACACTGATGTCGTTCAGTGGCCAGGAATGAGCTCAATCTCACACACCGCTCCGTCTCGTAACCCTTTCTCTCTCGTTCCACGGGACGCTCCGGCTTTTTCTTCCTTTCTTCTGCGGACGTGTCACTGTGTTTCCCTCCAGTTTTGAAAAGGAATTCTGTTTTTATCCTGAGTCTGCATCAAAAACACACTTGGTATTTCCTTCTCTGGTTTCTTGCATTCCGGTGGGAATGTACTTTGCTGGAGAGGAACGTGTGTGTCACTGAAGACTCCAGGTCCATCTCCATTTTGCTCTCCTCCTCCTTTTCAAAGCCACCCAGCCCCCTCTTTACGTTTGCGGGATAAGGCATTTGCAGGGGGGTTTGTAAAGACGCGCCCTGCGTACATTGACACAGGCCATCTTTTCTTGTGGTGGCCACCGATGGCGGTTCCCATTTCTTTTCCTTAAGAGCCACCTTGAGTGTAAGGGTTTGGAAAATTACGTTTGTATAATAAATACATATGTCAACTACGGCTTCATTTAATAAAACGTCCTGAGCGCTTTGGAACCCCCAGTTCTACAAATCCTCAGCCAACTCAATAAGACAGTTGCCGCTCCCCCAACGGCCAGGTGACTGCCGGGGATAAATTTCCCCACTTTCCCCTGTGCCCAGCTGTAGCTAATTGATTTATACACTTTGTTTTGCTTGGGTCTGATACCACCCTTCCAGCGTTGCAGCCGCGGGCTCGGCCTGTCGCCATCACGCATCTCAGTACATCCTCCGTGACAGGGCCCATCAATTCTGATTGCTTCTCACCAGGCCCCGGCTCTGACACTTTCCCCTGGGGAGACCTTTCCTGGTCTCCGTACTTAACCCCTGAACCCAGCCTAATCCATCAGCCACACAGAGTGAACGGCGAGAGAGAATGTGTCTCCCTAAAGACAGGCGGCCAGCCTCTGCACTGAAAACGCAGAGAGAAGGCCAGCCACGGGGTCTGCTTTCTGTTTGTCTGTGTCGCCGGCTGCTCCGCCGAGGGAGGCTTTTATGGTTGCGGTGCCCGGTGGCTTGGCCCGGGGGAAGTGCGATGCAAGGACACATCAATTCAGTGCTTGTTAAAAGCTAGAGCGGCTCTTTGGAAAATGGCTCCGAGGGACTCTCCCTGGCACAGCTGTCCTCCGGAACAATGTCCCCAACGTTTGACGTGTTGTGGGGCACCCGTGGGCAGGCTACGGGCAGAGGCTGGCGACCCGGCAGAGGGTGAACGTGGTGATACTGTGTTTCTTTCTGGAGAAGCCCAGCCACCGTAGGGCAGCGCCCCGGTCCTTACCTCGTAACCGAACTGCAGCTCATCAGAGGTGAGCATGATGATGTCGTCGTCGATGGCCAGCACAGCCTCCGTCTCGATCTCGTTGTAAGGGAAGAAACGGTTGCTCAGCTTGTTCTCAGCGGTCCGCACCACTTTTAACGGAACCCGGATTTTGGGCCAGAGAGACTCTGCAGAAGCAGAAAAAGGTCTTGATTACTCTCCTCCCGGAGGCGAGGAGGTCCAAGCGGTAAAGGCATTCCATCGCCCGTGAGAGCGAGAAAGAATCCATTCCCTCCACTTTAGTCTCGGCAGAGGCAAAGGGCTACAGGGGCCGGGGCGAGACTGGCAGGCGCTTTTAAAAAGTCCGTGCCGCACGGGGTTTCTCTCCTCTCTCAATCCTACCAGACCGAAGTTCTCCACGAACGAGAACCGACACGCGGAGGCGACTGATGATTCTGAGAGGCGGGGGCCGCAGGACTCAGTTCACAGCTGCAGGAAGAGGAATGGGGGAGGGGGGGCTGCCTCACTCTGAGGACTGTGGGGTAATGAAAAAAAAAAAAAAAGCCCCCAAACCAAACTCACTGCCATCAAGTCAGTTCTGACTCAGAGTGACCCTATAGGGCAAGGCAGAACTGAGACTGTAACTTTACTGGAGTTGAAAGCCTCATCTTTGTCCCACAGGGCGGCTGGTGGTTTTGAATTGCTGAACTCGGAGGTAACAGCCCACCTCGTAACCCACTAAGTCACCCAAGGCTCTCCCACCTCTGCAAATTACAAGTGGCTTCAAAACGTCTGTGGGGAAATGCCATGATCTTTCCATTCCATTTCCCTTGGACTTCTTGAAGCCCGCTCCTGCTTTCAGGCAGGTGCACCCCCACTCAAAATCTGTCTGCAGCTCACCTAGAAAATGCACTCCACTACCCTCGGGGGCACAAACCCTGTGTACTGGGCAGCTGAATGAAGGGTCGGTGGCTTGAACTCATCGAGAGAGCAACTCAAGAGATGCAGCCTGAACACGCTGAACTGCGAACTGTGTGGGCAGAGGTTCAAACACACCAGCTGCCCTGAAGGAAAACAGTGAGGCTGTCTGCTCCCCAGTAGTCTGACCGCCTGGGGAACCCTACATGGATGGGCTCATAACAAGATGGAATCCACCCAGCAGCCGTGGGTTTGGGGTTGGATATGGGCAACACCACAGAAAAGCCTGGAGACCCATTTTCAGGAAGATCACAGGCCAGACCACCCTGCGGAGCTCAGCTTATCTCTCATGATGGGGTGGAGGGAGTGGAGGGGCTTGCAGGACTCAGAAGCAGCTTAAGGGGCAGCTGGCTGGGGTTTTGTTTGTTTTTCTCCAGGCCTCTGCCCCCAGGGTGCCCAGCCCCACAACACAATCACAAGCAGTCCCCTCAGGAGAGAAAGCAGTGTAGCTTGCCAGTGTAGCCCCTCCCCAGCTCCTCCTCCACCAGAGTCACTGGGTTTCCTTCTCATCATGACCAATTTACAGAGTACATATCAAATTTCTAGGTCCAATTATGTGGGATTTTCTAGCATATTAAAGAAACACCAACCCATGACTTGTCTTGCATTTTTCCCATTCTACTTTGACATGACTAAAGCAAGGGCAACCGCAGGTTCTTGATGTTGAAAAGCTGCAGGGAGCGTAGCATGGAACTCCCTACTCCTCGGGCACAGGACCCTGCACTGGAGACCCCAGGGCTCATCAGGACCCTGCACTGGAGACCCCAGGGCTCAACGTTTGTTGAGCGAGAGCAGGACAGCTAGAACACAGACTGCTGTGTGTGTGTGTGCACACACACATACATGCCATTATGGCAAGAGCCAGGAGGTGTTGTTCTTGAAGGCCCACAATGCCTGTGGCCACGCTCAAGGGTAAGTAGGACCAAAGGAGACCCAGAAGGAAAGAGGCTGTTTGAACCGAGTGCAGACAGAAAGTCCTACTTCTGCATATTTGATACTGTGTTTGTGGCAACACAGTGCTAGGGACCCTTCTAAAATCTTGCCTCTGCATTTCAGGTACATAGTCAACGGGGTGGGGCATAGAGCCTAGAAAAGTGGTCAACTCCCAAAGAAGCATGTTTGGGAAAATGCTGAACTGAAACCAAAGACCCGATCCAATGGGTCATTGCCTTTTAATCAATAACAAGATTCCAACCAAACTTACCGCCACCAAGTCAACTCTGGCTCGTAGGAACCCTGATGGCATAGTGGGCTATGCACTGGACCGTTAACTGCAAGGTCGGCAGTTTGAAACCACCATCCTCTACAAAGGAGAACTATGAGACTTTCTACTCTTGTGAAGACAGAGTGTTAAAGTAGAATTCTAGTGGTATACTGGGTTACTCTGGGAGCTGCTAGCCACAAAGTCAGAAGTTCGAACCCACCAGTTCCTCCTTCAAGAGAAACAAAATAAAAAATATCCACACTAGAGAAGACAAAATAAAGAACCAGGGCCTACATTTATGCACAACAACAGACTTCATCAAGTGTCAACAGAGAACCAAGATATTGAGAAAAAAGTATTAAGTAATAATATATCAGATAAAGGGCTAATCTCCAAAGTCTAGAGAAAAACAACATCTTAACAAACAAATAACCCAATTAAAAAATGGGCACAGCACTTCAACAACCAATTTATCAGACGACATCCAGTCAACCACCATAAGACAAAGGGTTCATGATCATTAGCAATAAGAGAAATACAAATTAAAACAACAATAAAATACCACCTCGCACCGACACTTTTGGTAAAATTCAATAAAATGGAAAATAATAAATGTTGGAAAAGATGTGGAGCGATAGGAACACTTTTACACTGCTGGTGGGCCTGTAGGATTGTAATCCACTATAGCATCAGTACAGCACTTCCTTAAACAAATGCAAATTCAATTCCTTATGGTCCAGCAATCTCTCTACTTGGTCTATACCCTAAAGAAATCAAGAATACAATACTAACAGATATATGCACACCTATGTTTATTGCAGCAATTTCCATAATAGCAAAAACAAAGAAACAACCGAAACTCCCAATTATAGAGGAATGGATCAACAAGCTCTGGTACTTTCATACGATGGACAATTATGCATCCAAGAAAAATGACAACTCTCTTAAACATCATAAGACAGACAAAACTAGAGGACATTATGCTTAGTAAACACAGTCAATCTTACAAAGATAAATATTTAATATCACAATAGTGTCAAGGAAACACAAAGAAGAAACGTGGTTTGTACACCAACAGACAAGGTTTTGATGACCCTGAGGAAGCCACAGGGCTGGGGTGGGGCGGGGAGGGGAGGGGTGGGAGCGGGGAGGGGGAGGAGCCACATAGATGGAGCGGTTCATAATACACTGTTGTTGATCTCATTTCTGGACATGGCCTGTGTAAGTATACACAGTATGTTCTTTACAAACAAACAAAAATCCCTTATCCTTCAAGCCTAAATGGTGGTCTGAGTGGATTGAGGGAAGAAAAACAAAAGGAGGAAAAGTAACACTGAGATGCACTTGGATGTAAAGTCTCAGAAACCGAAAGGGCCACTGTGAGTCTGCACTGACCCGATGGCAGGGAGCGAGTATGACAGAGTTACCGTCTCGGAGACCCACAGGGACAGTACTCCACGGTCCTATAGCGTAGCCGTGAGTCGGCACTGACTCGAGGGCAGGGAGTGAGAGGTTCCTGGCACCCAAGGGTCACCATGATTTGGGAATGACTTGGTGGCACCTAACAGCAACACCATGTAAGCCATTTTGACCTGTGACCTCTGGACAGTCAGAGTATGAGAAATTTGAACCTGGGATTTTTTCTTTCTAAGGACTGGAGCAGCAGAGGGAAAAGGGGGTGTAGGGAAGGGCAGAAGAACACATATGAGGGGGGGGAAGGTGGTTTCCTCCTTTTCATTAGTACTTGCAAAAAATGCATTACTCTCTGTCTCAGAATTTGTGTCTAGTCCTCCAAAAATAAACCAAAACAAAACCAAAAAACCCAAAACGCACTGCCATCGAGTCGATGCCAACTCATACTGATGCTGCAGGGCAGGGTAGGCCTGCACCTGTGAGTGCCCAAGACTGTAACTCTTTACGGAGTAGGAAGTCCCATCTTTCTCCCCAGGGGCAGCTGAGGACTTTGGATCAAACCCCACAACTCAACGACCAGGGGTCCCTTTAAAAGGAACCAGAAAGGAGGTGGATATGTACAGCTCAAGGATAGAGTATTTTGCTGTAGACCAAGAAGTCCCTGGTTGAAATCTTCCTGGTAGTTCTTAAATAAAATCCCAAATCAGACAAAGCACGAAAACAGTTTTCCTACATTAAACGGTAGTCCAAGTACCTACAGAGTGTGGCTTAGTGCATGGGGCAGGGGCTTTGGATCCCGAGACCTGGGTTTATTTCTGGCTCTCCCATGTGCAGTTTTATGATTGTGGCAAGCTTTTCAACCAGTGGGAGCTCCATTTTTCACATATGTTAGATGGAAGAGCACAGCTTTCCCTGGAAGGCTGTCCTGAGGACTAGAGACAGGCAGGAAGACCTTGGAAATATGACAGGTTCACTGCCAGATCACCACAATAAAGTGAATGCTACAGTAAGGCAGGTCACACAAATTACTTGGTTTCCAGTGCACGTGAAAGTTAGCTTCACATTGTACTCTGGTCTACGAAGGGTACAACAGCATGATGCAGAAGTGGGACATGTGGTGAGAATTACCAAAATGGGACAGTGAGACCCCAGGTGAGCTCGTGTTGTTGGGGAACCGCCGACTGACTTGATTGTCACAAACCCTGCCTTCATTGATGAAATGCGCAGTGACATGAGGGATGCTGGCATGCACACAGCACGTAGCCCAGTTCCTATTCCTAGGATGTAAGAGCCCAAACCAGCCCCAGTGCCACTGAGTCCAACGCACCTCACAGCAACACTACACGACAGGGCAACACTGCCTGTTGGGGTTTCCAGGACTGCCTATCTTTACAGAAGTGGACAGCCTCCTCTTTCCTCCTCGGCGTGGCTGGTGGGTTCGAAACTCTGACTTTGTGGTTAGCAGCCCAACTAGGAACCCACTAGGTAACCAGGAGATAAGCGGTACACAATCAATGGTTAGAAAAATAGCGTATCGTTAGTCTAATTTTCACAAATGGATCTTGGAAAGTTTGATGAATTTCACTGCCCTCA